GCTTACATCTGTCTGTGTAATCGAGATTCGAGTTACATCCTAGTAGTTGACGTGTGAAACGTCTTTGAACATCTTCTACTCTTATCTTGTCTGCGATATTCATATTAGAGAAGACAAAAGAGCAGTATTCAAGGGAGGGTCGTACACATATTTTGTAGAGAGTAAGTTTACCCTCTGTTGTGAAAAAGTTTTTCATTATAAAACCAATTAGCCGTCTAGATTTAGAAATAATAGAGGAGGCATGTTCTTCAAAGTTTAGGCTTCCTGTGTAATTAATTCCTAAATCGTGTATTTGTTTGGACTCTACATTCATTTAAGTGAAGTCGCGGTTTATAGGGATGCTTTCCAAAGTGCATGATCCCGCACTTGTTGAGGTTAAATGGTAATTGCCATTTTTCACTCCATATAGTTAAGTTATTGAGGTCCTTTTGGATCTGGGATACACTTTCGCTTAGTGTCTCAGGCTTATAGCTGTATACTATTTTGAGATCATCAGCATATAAGTATGGTTTCCCAAATTCTATGGTGTTACATATATCGTTTATATACATAAGAAACAAAAGTGGACCTAATACGCTTCCCTGGATGACTCCACTGGTGATTGGTCTAGGGGACGAGAGACAGTCATTGTACTTTACCATCTGTTTACGTTCTGTTAAGAACGAAGCAAACCATGAGTACAGTGGGTTGTGTATTCCGAAGGACTTTAGTTTGACGAGTAGCCTTTTGTGTGGGACCTTATCAAAGGCTTTCTTAAAGTCTAGGAATAGGACTGATACAAGGAGTCCGCTGTCTCGTTTCAGAGTTATATCATTCAGGTAGTCTACTAGGCATGTATCGCATGATCTGGACCTAAGAAATCCATGCTGGGAGGTCGAGATGAGATTATTAGTTAGTAGATGTTGGACTACAGCCGCCTTAACTACTTTTTCCATCACTCTGGATACCACTGAAGTTATGTTTATAGGCCGGTAATTTTCAACGTTTGCTTCAGGTCCTGTTTTAATTTTGGGAATGATATGTGTAGTTTTCCAGGCAGTAGGGTAACACGCTGAAGAGAGTGATATCGCGAATAGTTTGAGAAGCAAAACACACATATCATCACCTCCACGTTTTAGCATGCTAGATGGAATACCATCTGGTCCATCAGTGTAGGAGTGTTTCAATGTACTGATTGCCTTGGAGATATTTTGTACACTGAATTCTACATTAGTAATTTCACAGGGAGTTACTGGGATTGGTTCTGAATCATTAAATGGTTTTTCGTTAGTGTGAGAAACAAAAATGTTCACTAAATAATTCTGTGATAAGTTTGGGATCTTCGTATACTTGTTTGCCTTTAATGAATATACTCCCTCTCGATTTAGAGCGTTTAAGTTTATTTTGGAGTAGTATGGTGAGTGCAGAGGAGTTATTATTAAGTTCAACTGCACGTTTTTCCTGTGCTACTGCTTTTTGTTTACTTATTGCCTCTGTTCGGACAAGTATTTCTGTCATCGTTACTAAAGAGGAAAAGTCATTTAAGTTGTGGAATCGAGTACAATGTCTTTGAAGACGTCTTCTTGTACTGACCGGTATATAGAGATCTTTGGAGAACGTAGGTTTACAGTATTCTAAAGGTGCGATGTTGTTGATGATACTTTTGATGTTGTGATAAAATATATTGGTTAATGTGTCGGTATTGTTTGAGGTAAAGAAAGTTCTCCAATCAGTGCTTCTAAGGTAATTGTGGAAGTTATTCCAATCAACCTTGCGATAGTTTCTACGAAGTGTTACGGTTTTACTTCTATCGGTTGTGGTTTTTACATTAAGGCTGCATATGACAATGTTGTGATCACTACCTGGGAACTTTTTTCCAATATACAAAGTATTGGGGATGAGGCCACTGGTAAAGACTAAGTCTAAGATGTTTTGATGTTTAGTAGGGCTACTGACATGACTTCAGTTCATTGTTTTTTATTTTTCATTATTCTTGCTTAGAATACATTGTATCTATCGGCAGTTACTGTTATAACTTGTGAACCTGTGTGCCCTATATATTGGATAACGCAACGATACCGCCAATCTGAGAGTAGCGATATTATCGATTGAACCAGTGACACATAAAACACGTGCGAGAAGCCTAGAATTCTGATTGGTCTCGCTTCCTGTCTAGCCCAGCCAGTTAAGTCCAGAACACCAATCTCAGCCTCTGCAATATGATTCATTTATTTCAAACATACGCAGTTTATATATGAACTAGACAGACCACAGCGTACCATGAAATAGAAAATAACATTTGTACAATATTTAGCCAAAAGTGGTTGTGAATGAGGGAGATAGTAATTAATAGACAGGCCATAACTCAAGAATAGTAAATCTTATAGTAATAGTTCAAAGGTCGAAATAAAACTCATAATAAGAGGGACATGAAGATGAACAGTTTAGTTGCATAACAATTATACGATAAAAGCATACTCATAATATCGGTCCATAAATGGATCCAAAAAGTTACCATTTATTATTCTTATCGGGATATAACAGTTATGAATCAGGTCATAAAAGGCGATTGTCGCAAACTGAAGGTCACATATTTTACAACTGCCAGGTTTGCAATAATGTAAGGTTTTGAGTAACATTGTATTTTAATATATGTTTTTATTGAGGAGATTCCTACCCTGTCTTCTTCCTTCTAGATCATCTGTATGCTCTGCGAGACAAGAAGTTTGTGTGAAACTGGACATTTGTTTCTTGTAACTATATTTCCTGTTGACATGTAAATATTTTATAAGGGTAGCGGAGTAATTCTTCATGTTTGGCTGGTTTTTTATCAATTTCTCTTCCGAGTTACTTTTTACTTTAGGATGGCCCGAGAGCCGAGCGATAAAACACGTGATAGCTAGACAAAGCATAAGAAAGTCGTACCTCACCAAGATGGTGCTAGATAGCTCTTTTGCAATAATTTCTCAAATATTCTTGTCCCATATTTTCATCTTCCGTCCTCTCCCTAGCTCATATAATAAGTGATATGAGATGATTTGTTGTAAGTAGATAAATGCTATGAAGAAAAGATAACATACTATGAAAGTATGTGACATCTACAGTTGGCTTACGAATATTATGTCAGCGGTCGTCATTTATTTAAATATATTGAGGTAAAGTACGGCGATTTTCCATTGGAGTGAGTCATTTTCTATAGACACCAGACCGACATTACTCACTTACTTACACCTGTTACTCCCAATGGAGCATAGGCCACTGACCAGCATTCTTCGACCCACTCTGTTCTGGGCCTTCGTTTCTAGTTCCATCCAGTTCTTGTTCATTTTTCTCATGTATATATCCATTTCCCGGCGTACTGTGTTTTTTGGTCTCCCTCTTCTGCTTTGGCCTTGAGGATTCCATGTGAGGGCTTGTCTTGTGTTGCACTTGCGTGCTTTCCTCAATGTGTGTCTTATCCACTTCCAGATCATGAAAGGCCTGGAATTTATTGTTGAGGGCTATCTTAAATTTGTTGAGTTTGTCAGTATCCCGAACCGACATGTTTTTTGTGAATTGATCAGATTAATAGTCTTATTGAGATGAATTGTAGGAGGAGTCCCGAGGTGAGAAAATTAAAAGTTTTGAGTAGGTAACCTGGGTATTCATTCAGCCTAATACAATTCTTTTGGGATCAATTACTCTCAAGAGGTTGATCTCAACTACAATAAATAGGAACTTCATATTATTTTATTCGCAGGACTGTTTCTGATAAATACGCTTGAGAAGCAACTTATTACGTTTAGCTGATCTGCATTATCAGAGTAGCTAGATTAACATTAAACGAAAGCAAACTGGGTATTTTAGAAGATTTTGTTTTGTTCATAAATCTCAAGTGACTTTCCCCATAACGTTTTGCATAAAAATCTTTACGTCCGATAGAGTAATTGTCAAGGAAGATGTGTACTGAAACTATTGACCCTTATCTAGTCCTGAGATGACATTAACTGGCACGTGTTCATTTGGTTTGGTTCGTTCCTAAACGTCGGTTCTTCATCGATGTTTGTGTAGGCACTGTTGCGAAGTAATAAGACAATGCGGAGACCATACAAATAAAAGAAAATGTTCCATTAATTGCTTTCTTACTCCCCATATTCTCTCCGAATTTCGACTTCAGTGACAACTGAATTTTTTAGTCCAGTTTTGAATTGTTAAAGATTATCCCATTTGTAAGTCCAATCTTATTATTAGCCTGCATCTTCAAGTACTGTATGGAACGAGCAGTTCAGGGCAAGATCTTAGTAGCAGTAGCAGACTGTATGATGGATACTTGGAAACAGAATTTTTGAATCAAAGGCTAGTAACTCACAATATGATTCTGTAGTTTCAGTTAGCGGTTGCCTCTAAGATCTTAATAACACAGGATGGAGATAGAGTAACATAATTAGTATAAAAATCATGAGAAACACCATGATAAAACAGAACTTTAGCCTGCTAAGTAATGAACAGATAAAAATGAACTTTATATGCAACATTTGTGTTAGTTTATGACACTAACTACTGTGACATGCTGGTATTCAACATGTTTTCATCACTTGCTTGCCACTGAACTCATACAGATGTTTGTTACAGTCCCGTTAATTTATAACCTGTCTACGAATAAATAATATCACGAATAATAGTGAATCACTCTTACGAATGAAGAACATTCATGACCAGATGGGTACGGTGTGTGAATAATTTTCAAACCCTTCAGCTGAAAAAGTGACACAACATGAATTTCAAACACTTTGAAGTTTCGATCGATCCTCTACATGTCGTTACCTTGCTTGACTTAATGCTATATTTCCTGCTGGTACGCTTTTCATTAAGTATGTGTGATTGGTCTCAGATGCTTTGTTTAACCCTGTAGCGTAGAAGGTCATTCTTATTTTCGCGATAACTTCGAAACTCAGCACATTTATCGCTCATTACTTAGATCCGTATATTTCCACTGTCAGTCAGAATTTCAAATATCTAAGTAAATATTTTAACCGACACTAATGACGCGATCAGAAACAAAACTGCCGACAGTTGATCGCATTGTCACAAGTGAGAATGTTTATAATTTCAGTTTTTTTTCATTTGACAATTTATGGATGGAAAATCTCTTTTTCTTCATTATTATGAATAATAAAGAAATTTAGTTGGAATTATTAGGATGTGGCCGCAACTTAAAGAGGAATGTCTCTGGGTTCTTGTTGAACTTGGTACTTTAATATTTAACATACCTAACTTTATCACTGATAGATCAAATAATTTAAGTTGTGTGTGATTTCCTCCCTAAATGACAAAGTATTATGTATTACGCCTTTTATTTACCTACGGAAGGCTGTGAATTGTGTACATTGCCGTATTTGTGGATGGTGCCTAATATCTTTTTGTAATAATGGTTCTAGCAAATGTTTCAGGGGTTGATATAGATGATATTATAATTTATGGACTCCTTTTGAACGACACTAAAAAGACCTTGAGAATGTCCACCTACATACTATGGCCAAATCAGGGTTATAAACCAATGTGAGGAATTAAGAATAATATTTACATTTGATAGTTAGGGTTCTCATCTTGGACTGACCCAATTTATAATGTCAAAACTCTATTTAACTAAATGGATGAATTAATTTTGTGCCGAGATTGAAGACCTGTCATCCTAGATCTGATTGGTTCGACCGTAAATTATAGTCTCGCCGGCTAAACTATTCTTGTTTAATATATTCGGGATTTGTATCCAGAGTTAGTGGCTGTTATAATCTAGAAAAGTTACGTAGTTGCGATTCAAGCTTCTAATTTCATACATGGGTTCAAAATGCCTTTAGACTCGGAGATTGTTCCAAAATCCTTACTAGCTAGCAATTAATTAAGCGCTTATTTTTTAATAAGGCGTTTAAAACCCCCTTAACTGATTAAATTTCAAATTTTTCAGTCAAGGCATCCCACTAAGATGTTCATCGTAGGAACAAATACATAAAACTAAATATACTTATGTGCTAATATAGTATCTCAGTAAACCTGTTGTAGTCCATGCATTTGATTTGCTATGAAATTTGTTGATAATATGTATTGACATGAATTAATCATACATTTTTCAAGTTTTTCATCTACTTGTTCCGCTTTACTATCTTGGAAATGTATAGGACTCTAAGAGTAATTATTACCTGCCTAGAGTTTTATATTCATGAGTAGATTTTTCACAAAACTCGGGAAGTTATAACGTAATTGTTGGTTAGGTTTTTTCTATTCTTCACTTGTTAAAATGCCGCTAAAATAACTCAGACTTGTAATATTTTTCGAATAAAACCATTTTCTTTAGTTTTCTGTTGTTGATTTTTACGAAGTCTCTATGACGATATTTTTTTCGTTTATCTGGTAGTGATATCGTAAGATTATTTAACCCGAGTTTCAGCATGACTAGAACACCAACTTCCCTGCAATCTACGTTGTTTACGTAGTTTTTTAAAATGTTTCTTGCCAATGGCTGTAGGTGCAAACTATTGACTTAGAAGAGTGATTTGCTCAACATTTTGTTCCGTAACTCATGGTCTGGCATTCTGGTTTTCATGAGTTTATGGAATGGGAGAAGTACTTGAATTTGTATTATCATTTCAGAGTGAAAGGAAATCATTTATTTGTGAATGACAATTAAATGTGATAAATAATTATCCTTGCTGTTTCATAAACTTACTGATTTTTGGTTTGTTCAAAGTTGACAAGATGTGTTTTAAAAGTAATACGACTAAACGTATTATTTAATTTGAATTTGTGAATACCTTTTATAATGAATTTTATTTTTTGTGGTAAGACTCTGACCTTTATTTCTAATTCGTTAAAAACGAGAAATCGAACGGTGTTTGTAGCAGAGAGTCTTATATCATCTTAAAGAGAGATGTTTGACATTTGAGTCATCATATAAAATCAAATTGTTGTCGAATTACCTATTTATGATGTTACGGAATTTATTTTTTCTCATTGATCTACCTGAAGATAGCGGATATAGTAATTTAGCAAATGATGATCGTGTTCTGAGACAAATAGTTCATGCATTGTGTTTAAGTTTATCTTACCTGTGAAAGTTTGGTTTCTGTTGGTTTTATCACCCAATCAGTCAGTCAGTCAGTAACAACGTAGAACTTCATACGTACGTACATCAGTTCGAGTTGCCACACCACATTAACACAAAGATGCGGTGGTCGATTCAAATCCCGTAGTGCTAGATGTAGTAAAGTTATAAGCTGTAATCAGAAAAATTAGGGTTTGAAGATGTTATTCAAGGAGTATAATCCAGTGAAATAAATTTGGAAAGAGAAGAAAGAAAGGGACATGATGAATTCAGAAGATTAGAATTTTGCAGAACATAAAGAGTGGATGCACCTGTGCCATTGCAAAGATTTCCAGACATGTCATTCAGGGTCTCTAACCATCGGTTGCCATCATCTCGCGGTCCCCAACCTGGTAGTCTACACTTACCAACATGACTCATTCCACTTGTCAGTGACTTCATGGATTTGTGCCATGTTTTGGTCTGGCCGCCCCTAGCTTTCTTCCAACCTACTCCTATACCATAAAGCATCGCACGTCGAGGCAGTCAGTGGTTGAGCATACGTAACACATGTCCCAGCCATCTCAACTGATGAAGTTTCACTACGTCATCAATGGATTTGCCATCCTCACCTAGTACCCGTTTTCTAACAACTGCATTACTTACTCGATGGTCCCAGGATATACGAGCAATATTTCGAAGACACCTATGATCAAATACTAGTAACCTACGAATATCCTCTACTCCTACCGGCCATGTTTCACTGTCATAAAGTAGGACAGAACGAACTGCTGCACAGTAAACACGTCCTTTGTTTGATAGACGGATATCTCGCCTACGTCATAAATGACGCAAGTTGGTAAAAGCTAGTCGAGCCCTCTGTATTCGTGCTGAGATTTCGTCACACACCAGACCACAAGGGCTGATGAGACTGTAGTGGCATTGGACAATAACCACACAACCCACAAAGCAGAACACGAGACTACTCAGAAAATAGATATTCAATATTTACCGCGGGGAGATACCTAACGATGGAGAAGGCGCGAACAAGGGATTGAATGAATTAGAGTTGATCGAATGGCATGGCTCGGCCATGCAGGCGTTGTCCCTGCTGAATGTTACCTTATATCTTTTAATTATATTAAATATATTGTTTTTTCTCTAGCCTAAGCTTGTTCTTCATCATGTATTGGTAGTTGTTACTATTCAGTGAGCTGGTGTAGACGATGATGTGACTTCCATGTAAGATCTTATAGATTAGGCAGTTATATCATGACAAATCTACAATTTTAGGATTAGGTCTATTATTAGAGCAATATTAATATCTTAGTAGACCATAATTCTAAAAGACTTCTAAGATAAGTAAAGCGATCGACACACTCAACTACTTCACTCCCTATCATTAGTTCGGGTGCCGATGCAATCCAATCCTGAAGCAACATTTTGCATTTCGAGGGGGAGAATCGCATCCCGAACATGCTTGCATTGTCGCTTAGAGTGGTCAGAAGACTGTATTTTGTCAGCGTCTTCACCAAATAAAACTATGTCATCAGTATATTCTAAGTCAACAAGTGAACCTCCCGGTAGAAGTTCAACTCCTGGAAATTTAGATGAGGAAAGTGTAATTTCTAAATGTACGTCAATGACAAAGTTGAACAAGAATGGGGAGTGGACAGCCCTGACGAACACCACTTGAGATAATCAGTTCTGATGACAGTTCGCCATAAGCTCTCACTCGACCAATGGTGTTCGAGTAGAGAGCCTTTACAAGGTTAATGTACTTCTTTGGTACTCCTTTCAGTGACAAACACTGCCATAGAGCCTTACGATCAACAGAGTCGAATGCCGCCTTAAGGTCGAGAAATACTACGATTGTGGGGCGTCTGGATGTGTGTCTGTATTCTAGGACCTGATGTAGTGTGAGTATCTGGTTTATACAACCACGTCCAGGTCGAAAACCAGCCTGATTTTCTCTAGTCTGTTCTTCACGAGCTTTAGTTAGGCGTCGAAGTATTATTGAAGCTAATATTTTAGACACTATATTAGTCAAACTGATTCCTCTGTGATTGTCACAAGAGGACTTTTGTCCTTTCTTATAGACTGGCACAATCAGTGATTGAGACCAGCCAGATGGGATTACGTCCAGTTCCCAAATTCTACCTAAGACCTCAGTTAATCTCACTGCTAATACTGAACCACTATCTTTAAAAATCTCAGGGTAAACCTGTCAGGGCCTGCTGGTTTTATCACTACTGTTTTTTATAACTCTATCAACTAGTTTTTTCTGTTTTAAATTATTTCAGAGTGAACCAACCAGTTTTTGTGTCCTTAATTATTCACCGTATTAACTATTTAGACGCTCAGGCGGATATACAACAGGGTCTGCAATTAACGAACGTTGTTAAAAATACTTATTTCATAGTCATTGCCAAATTGTTGTGTGAACTATGATATTCGTTTCTGTAGGGATTTTATTTGTATTTCTTAAGGAGAGCTATCAAGTGTTTAGTTTTTCCTTAATGTAAATAATTTGTGATGTAATGTTCATAGTCAGATGTGTTTCGGACCATAAACGATCTTTGTGTTTTGTTTATTGAACACTGCATTCAATACTTCCGTTAAATTTTATAATCCATTCTGGTCTACCATAGTAATCATTTGGCTTTCTCATATCATTGTCTTCTCTTGACATATATTGTCTGTCCAACAAACAAACGAATTTAGCTATTTAGGGAAACTGTAAAAGCCTGTAAAAAAAACTGCAAGTTTATCAAATGTTAAGTGCCGTTTATAAAAATAACATATTAGAGAAAAAAAACCTTTTTAAATGAACCGAGCGTTTCATTTAGGACTATTAAGGCTGGATGAGTACTGCAAAGTCAAGACGACCGTCAACTTCCCGAGTGTTGATAAAAATGTCTAACTTGTGCAGTATATCTATTTCTTTCCATCTGCTAATTTACTGTATGAATGATTAATAAGGAAGAGAATCTGAGGGAATTATCTGTACACA